ACTCGGGGTTTGTGCCATCTTACGTTTCGATGCCTCAGGTGAGAAGGTCTCGAACAGGCAAGACCAAGATCGTCAGTCTGAATCCGAGCTCAGGATCTTCGCGTGAGGAAGTTTCTATCCCGCAGAGAACAGGAGAGCTGGACATGCTCGCTGCATTTGCAGAAGACAAGTCCGCGCGCGATCTGCTAGGCGCCTACAATGACTGGGGTAGAGACACGTTGGCGCACATTCGATCTGAGGCTGCGCTGTCTTACGCCTTATCCTTGAGGCCAAATGATTCAGTCGTAGTTTATTTCCACATGCTCCATGAAAGTGGTCTGTTGAATGCTGAAGGAAGAGCGGCGTTCTCGGATTTGGTTATTGTGAGAGATTGCTTGGTAAAGTTCCCCGTGATTGAGGTGCCTGACAATCTGAACTCTCTGCACCCGACGTCTGCGGACTTCACGTTTCCAAAGTTCTTGGCTTCATTTGAGCAAAGAGTCGAGATTTGGAAATTCTCCGGCGGAAGCTGGAAAGAGGCTGTGGAGAGCCACTTACGATCTTGTTCTCAGATCCACTTCCACTCTCTGCAAGAACGTGTACGCGGACGAGCATAGCTCAGCAATGGATGTACCGCCAGTTACGCAACTGTGGAAATGAAGCAAGCTTTGGTGGACGAGGATTACAACTTGCTGGAAGAGGTAATAAAGATGGAGCAGAGCGGCGATTCTCTCGAGGATGGTCTCAACCTTGCATCTTCGATGTCGAAGTTTTTGAGTTTCAAGTCTCCCGAAGAGTAAGCATGTGGTCTGGTTTTGGAATTACGGTGAGGCGCGGAGAGAGGCTCAGGCGATGTGCGCTTCACAATCGAAAAATGCGAAATCTTAGGAGGCTGCGTCGTCAGGATTCTCTCGTTCTTGGCTGTCAGCTCACTCAGATAGAAAGGGGTTGGATCAGCCTGACGAGGAAAGGTCGAGAGGTCTAGAGTCCCACGCTGCTGGATTGGTTTTTCTCAGCCATTTTGGCTCAAGGCCTTTTCGGGGCAGCTTGATGTAGGGGGCTATGTCCGACGAACAAAGCCTCGACAAGACCATCAGCGAGTTCACACGTGAAACCATATGGGTCAAGTGTCACCACGATGAATCCGACTTTGCCTTCGTGCTCTGTGAACCAGCCAGGTCAGTTGTGCACCGCATTGCATCTCTACGACGCTCAAACGCCTCAAGATCTTTGACCAGCAGGGAAACCTCATGACTTTCCGGCAGGTTGAGACCCAATGCAGAGCGTCCACCACCATGCTTTGGATCAACAGGGCCCCAGTGATCCGTAAGCCTGCTCCCCCAAGAGAGCTCAAGTGGCACGACATCAAGATCGCTGAGTGGCCCAAAGTTGATCACCCTGCCAAGCAAGTAGGACCAGGCTCGTTCGGATTACAGTGCACATTCAACGACTCTGACAGGATCAAGCTCCAGATCAAGCGCGTCATGCAATACATGTCAGTGCAACTTGCCCAGCAGACACAACATGTGTCGAAAAGCAATCCGATTAAGGTCGATGATCCGCAGACTTTGTCTGTCTGCCTGTATGTCTATTTGCTTGCCTGCCTGCCTGCCTGTCCGTCTGCCTGCCCCTGCCTGCCTGCCTGCCTGCCTGCCCAGAATCATAAACTGCGCATTTCCCTTGATCTGCCTAGACTCGTAAACTGCGGTCATTTCCCTTGAAGGCACTTGTTTTGAGATGAAGTTCACCTGGAAGTTTCACTGCAGCTTTTTTGGTGCTTGACTTGTAGGGGCTGGATCAGATCACAACTCTGGCGGCCGGCAGTTTTGCTCCTCAACGAACGAGTGTGTGGTCGCTTGAGGGCAGAGAGTAAGCACAAGAGGTTTGCGCCTGACGTTTCGAACAGGGACAGGATGCAAGTCTCGCTTTTTGCGCAACTCTTTGCCTCCACTGGAGGGTTTGCCCTGTGACCTCTTTGTGGTCATCCGTGTTCAAAATTAGACAGGGGCAAACTGCAGGAGTTCGTCTTAGTTTCCATGTAGCTAAGGTGTTCATACGGAAACCACGAGGAAAGCCGTTGCCCCCGTTTTGGGGCTCCAAATCCGGAGGAAAAAAACGACGAGCCCATTTCGAGCATGAGGCCTGCGCCAGCGAATGCTACAACTTCTTGGCCGGAGCCCCTGCTTGGCGTTCGACTCTTCACAGGGAGATTCCTAGTTCTTTTCTGTTTTATCCGACCCCAACACCACACTCGTCTCAGGAGACCCAGGGAAGCGACAAAGTCAGTAACTGGACGTAGGTGATTTGGAGGCGTTTTGTTTGTTTGTTTGTGTCTTTCTTTCTTTTTTAGGGGTGTGGTTTTGGGGTCTATACAAATTGCTCCTCAGGGGTTGGGCAAAGTTGGCCTCGCGACACCTAGCCTTAGTCTGCAATTTCGATGAGCTGCGCTTGCTAGAAGAGTCTCACCCCGCCCTTTGTGTCGTATTAAAACTCAGTTTCCCAAAGCCGATTTTTTAACCTTTTGGTTTTCCGATTTTAATCCATTTTTAGTCATGGCGCCAAAAGGTTAACCTTTTATTTCTGGGTCCTTTGGGAAACTGAGATTAATGATGTTGCAATCCAGCTGCCTGCTGCACGTTACGTGAGCCACCAGGGGTAAAACCGTCAGCCAAGTGCTGCCTTGCGTCGAGCATGCGAGCATGTGGAGTGCTGGCATGCTGGCCCCTGACGCCTCCCAGTGAGCTTTGACAGACTGTGTGATATCTCCAAGTGTTTCGTTGTCTTTTGCCTTTTGCATGTTTGCACTCAGTGAGTGGGGATTGGTTGATGTTCCCTGGGCTACGATACACCGGGCGCCCGTGGCTTTCAGGCAGCGAGAAGATCGGCTTCTGGTCGCTGGTGGATCAGCTCGCCGCTGGCCCCGGGGCCTCCGCTTTCGCTTCTCCGCGGTTTTTTCCATCTCGAGGGAGTGGAGGCGCTGGCACAGGGCTGTGGTTGAAATGGAAGCCACGAACCTGTGATGCAACCAAAAAGGGCCTCCCAAAGACATTTCCCCCCCATGATAAAGAGGGGATTGTGTCGCAGAAGTGGGGGATAAACCGCTTGATCCCACAATCCTGTGCTGGCGCGACATGGCCAGAAGCCCTGGCAAAGGGCAAAAGGGCAAAAGTCGAGAAAAAAAAAAAAAGTGCCCTGCTTTTCCATTGCCAGAGGGCTGGGGTCGGATAGCAGGAGGGCCTTTCAACTTTCTAGGTTCTCTTTTGCACGTCGATTTCCGTTTCCCAATTGGCTCCTGCATCAACCCTTCTGGAACAAACAAAGCACAACACATCTTATTGTTAACAAAACACATACACGCCGGCCAGTGGGCCAGGCGAAAAAGACACAAACAAGGTACACGCCGGTGCGACGAGTCGTACTCAGCGGTACTCCGAGCTTCCAAAGTCTGAGGTCCACATGGAACGATGTTGGGGTGTCCAGGACTCCCGTCGCGTGTCCTGCTCGAGGAGTATTGCCCTTTTTTCTACAGGGCTGCTTAAAAGATACGTTTTGCAATCATTTGAAACATGGCTTTTCCCACCAAAATAAAGGGAAACCACCATTTACAATTTACAAGGCAATGTTCAGGTGTATAGTGTAAGGAGCCCTGTTCCAGCGAGTAAAGTATGAAAAGAGATCTCGTTTTACCGCCAAGCCGTTGAAATCAACTCGCATCTAATTGAATCTATTCTTGCAGGCTTCCAGACGTGGTGTCAACGAACAGAGACCTTACTGGGACGGATGTTTTTGCCCCGATCGGCACCTTTTCTTGCAAAGCTTTACTGCCATGGATGTTCATGTCTTGCTTCTGGGCTTGCCCGAGGCTTGTGTCAGGATTCCCCAGTGCACGACTTGTTCTTTCAGAGTTCGGGTTAAAAGGGGGCAGGTATACAATTGCTTTGTACCATTCGGGTTTGCCTATGCTCACCCCACAGCACGATGCCAACCCACACAGGACTTGGCCGGCTGAAGTGGTGTGAGCCAAGCGATGGACCTTCCAGGATGGCTGGCGCTCGCTTCGCGTGCGGGATCGAACTGCAGCTCAAGTCAATTCTAACGAAAAGGGGGTCCACCATTTTGAGAATCTTCCACACTTCCTATGTTTTCTTGGGAAAGCCAGGCAAAGAGAAGCTTTGTGTGTGCACCGTGTAGTTTTTGCGAGCTATTTGTTTTCCCACGCAAGCAGTCTGCAAGACACGCACACACGATAACACACACACACACATGTTGATCTGAACACGTGTTTTGGAATTCTATGTTCCGTGGACCAGCTAATCCAGGAAGAGTGCGGTCTGCTCCAACTCCTGTAACATAGAGCTTTCAAATCCGTCTCACCTTATTTGGCCAAACAGCTGGGAGTGACCGCTCACCCAGCTGCATGGCAAGCGCAGGCGTGTGGGCAACAAGCGCGTGCTAGCTTTGCCGAGGGTGTCAGCTTGTGGATGCTAGATGCACAGCTCATTGCATTGCTACTACTTTGGCCCTTCGGCTGTTTTTTTTGTTTTTTTTTGTTTTTTTCCCTCTGCAAACAGCACAAGTTAAATTTCGAAAGCGCGTTGAGCTTGGCCCTTGCATACAAATGATACAGGAATGCATAGCTGCCGGTCATCTCTGCTCGTTGGGAGCTCACTGCTCAGACCGTGATCCCATTCTAACCGCAGTATCAGCTGCTCAGCGGTGCCATGAGAACGCGGACCAAGTGTGTTTGCTCGCAGAGCTCAGAAATGCAGCCTTCATGGAGGTATATATGTTGCCTTGCAGAGAGAAACAGTGTGTGTGTGTGTGTGTGTCTGTGTGTCTGTGTGTGCGCGCGCGATGTCGGCCCCACCATCGAATGGCGATGCACAGGAGCGGATGTGACATATGTGGCGGGTGGTCAGTTGCAGTGTACCAACCATTGTGGGAGTGGCAGGCTAAAGTGTTGTCTAGGTCCCCCAGTAGTGCCCTTTTACCCTTTTCTTGGGGAGGGTTCCCCTAGTAAAATAGACCAACAAAAAAATGGGTACCAACTTATTCTAACCTCTCTACTGGAGGACCTAGTTGTGAAAGAAGGGAACCTTCGTGCAACGTTGTGCTTTCAGAATCTAAGCAGACTGACACTTTCCAAAACTTGAGGCAATGACTTCGAGATGCTGCACTACTATTCTGTTTGTGGAAAGCGAGCGTTTTCCTCGGCGGATCACACACACACACACACAACTACATACGTCATAAATATAAAGTTAGACCAGGTCATTTGCTTGTATGGAGATCCTGAAGGGGCTTGCTTTGGCTACCTACTGTGGATCGACGATTTCCTGTACCACCTAAGAAAGCTGGGATGTTCCTGTACAAATACCAAGACTGGTTTCCCATGGCTTCAAAGTGGTGCCATGGATTTGCTTAGGGAGCTGGGTATCCAAATTTGCCTTAGGGAGCGGTCCAGGAGCCGATCGGAGTTCTGGAAGGAGAAGGGTATGGCTCAAAATCATCGTACCCCCAGTGAACATCCCAATCCAACCGCTAAAATAGGTAACCTAAGATGGGTGGTGAATTCACCTACCAACCAAAATGGGATCCCAAAACGGTTTTGACCCACCGCCAAATAGGGAGGCAGCACCAGTTTCAAGCTTAGGCCCCATTTTAGTGGGGATTGGTTGATGTTCTCTAGGGGTACGATTTGGCTTTTGACCCATGGCCATCTGGCAGAATGGTTTGCTTTTTGCTCTGCCGCCAGGCCATCGGCCGTCTGCAGGCCGACTTGGACGGTGCGATGGGTGTCATGTGCGGCGCTCGGGGCAAAGCGGAAGGGGCGAGAATTTCCAGTGACTTGGTTGCAACCAATGCCGACTAGGGGAGATAATTTCAGAGTTTTTGCCCAAAGCCGACCTTTCTTGACCGTATGGTTTCCTGGTTGGCCTAGTTTCAGTCATAACCACGGAAGAAGTCGCCTTTTTTCCTAGTCCATGGTGAGAAGCGAAGACTTGGGCGTTTGAAATGGGGAGGCCCCCCGCGTGGGTTGAGGATGCTAAACCCATTGGGGTCAGAGCTTTGAAGAATGAAGCGGACGCAGTGCAGGGTCGAGAAATGGTTCTGGCCGCTCTGAACTTGAGGTGGCACGTTGGTGTTCTTTCAGATCGTCGTGAGCATAGGTATCCTTGTTAGTCGGTTTGGTAGAAAGATGGAGAGGCCTGGTATACCAGGTGGTTGAATCATCTACCATGGCAATATATTTTCCAACAAGGACACCTATGGTAATGAGAGAAACCCCACTTGGCTAGGTCGAGTTGCGGGGGCTTCGTGGTTAACATATCGCTTGCTAAGCCATGCAGTGAGTGCCCTTTGACCTTCCCATGTTGAGTCAAGGAATGACGGCCCTCCCGCGCCAAATGTGTTTCAGATCCAGGCGTTCTCAATCTCGGCTTCTTCTCTAGCGAGCCGCTACCCCGGCCTGGATCTGCTTGACTTCTTCCCTAGCCCCTGGTGGCGGATCAGTCGACCTGGATTGCCACTCCCTTCCTGCGTTCACGGACTTTCGTCTCTTTTCGGTGGACCGATTTAGTAAGCCACTCGCCACTCGTTCCGGAACTTGTTCGCTGCGAGTCAGCGAGTTCCCGAGAAAAAAACACAAAAAAACACACACCGAGCTCGCCTTTCCGCCCAGAGAGAGGCGTGACAACATGCGCAACATGGCGGAGCGGGACGGGCAGCTCCATGACCTCGAAGGCCGTCGCAAACATCTTCGTCGTGTTCGGCGGTTCGGCTGTTTGGACTCCTCAAAGCTAAGGGAACCAGTCTTTTTTTTCTTAATCGCAGATGAGGGGGCGGGTGGCTTTAGTTCTTTTGGAAGGTACTGGGTGTTTCCGTTGAACTAGGAAGAGGATTTCTTTGCTTCAGGGGAAGAGCCACTCAGGTGAATGTTGAAACGCTTGGTGGGCCGGTAGGCTTTTCAAATGCATTTTAATTCTTTGGGCCAGTGTGCGCCCACAGAATGGCCGTAAGATACTCCGACGGATCGATTGGTCCCAACTAGGGCGACCAGGAAAGACCGGTACAAGCCCTTGAAAAAGCACAAGCCGTGGAACAGCATGTGATGTGGATTATTCCGGCCACAGTGCAAGTCAGGCTTCATACACCTGCTACTGGTAGCTGACAGGGCCTTCAATCCGTGTTGCAAAGGCGGCAGCTAAGGAATAGCGAAGCTTTACTTTGACCTGGAATCAAAACCGTGCAGTGCAATCAACACAGGGCCTTATTAGGGTGAAACACATGTTTTTGGATGTTGTGACGTGCAGGTTTCCCGCATGTCAAGCGCCAGGCAAAAGCAACTCCTTGCACATGGTGCGCCGGACGCAGTTTGCGCGCGGAGAGTGCTGGGCAAACGGTACGTTTTCAGATGGGATGGCGACAGCGGCGCTTGCTTTTGCTGGCGCAAGCCGGTAAGTTTACCGACACAGAAAAGAGTCAAGCACAAAAGAAGACTCCCTGAGCCAGAATGCTGAATGTTGCCTATTCTAGCCTCTCTACTGGAGGACCTAGTTGGTATGGTGGCGTGTTTTGCCCACTTCCATTTTGCTGCAGAGTAGATGTTATTTTCCCCTGCTGTTGAAAAGAAAACAACTCCACTACTGGACATGTGATCTCATTGGCCCGGCTCGTTTGGTGTGGCGGTGTCAAGTGGCCGCTTGAGGCGGGGGGTTCTTGGATCGTGTGAGGCCTCGGGAACCTTCAGCGCGCACGCCACAAGGCTCCGCAAGGAGCAAGAGTGGCAGAGGCCGGGCCAGCGGAGAAACGAGCCGGCGGCAAACCGAAATCAATGCAACTGGTGAGACCAAAATCGATCCAACTGGTGAAGCGGTTGCTTGAGTTCAAGCCGACCCCCCAAGGATCCGCAGCTTTTTCCAAGCGTTTTGGACAGTACTTAGTTCGAGGAGTTTCGGGATCAAGCAGCCCCTGGGGGGTGGCTGGGAGTGATTCCAACAATCAAAGACCCTTTCCCTTCAAAAGCACCAAACAGTTGGGCCCAAGTAACAGAAAGACCAACTGACATGGAACACCGTGGGAGTCTCAGGCAACCCTTTGGGCTCTATGTTCCTATTCCGGGAGCAAAGCGGGGGCAGAATTGCTCTGGGGATGCCTTCCGTGCCACGGTTCAAGCCGGCAGCTAGACATGAGGCTCCTTGCCCAGGATGTCGTTCTGGTCCTTTGGCTTTTTGAACCCATCCGGACCAAGATTTTTCCGTGAGCATAGCCTCAAAGTTGGAAGCGGGCAGCGTTTCCCTCACGAGTTTCTGCGGCGCTTGCACCCAGCCCTGGCGCAGGTGCAAGACGCGGATTGCAATCTTCACCGTAGTTCTGAGTCTGGCGGGGCCGCCCAGCCGTCCCGCCCCGCCCTGCAAGTCTGTGAAGGGTGCTGGACTGTTTTTGTTGGGGTGTGTCTTACGACTAGAGATCTTCTGTGGCAAGGGTTTTTGCCCATGAAGTTGAAATGATTCCGTTGTTGGGTGTGTGTGTGTGTGTGTGCTCTGCTGTGCTGAAGGCCCACGCAGGTTAGCGCTTCGTTCAAGCGTGTTCATGTTGGAAGCATCATCATCATCGTCGTCGTCAGCATCATCGTCGTCGTCGTCGCCGTGGTCGTCGTCAGCCTCCTCATCATCATCATCATCATCATCATCATCATCATCATCATCATCATCATCATCATCATCACCATCGTCATCGTCATCGTCATCGTCATCAGCATCATCATCCCTCGTCATGATCATAATGATCATGAACAGCAGCATCATCATCGTTTTTCTCATTGCAAACCTCACGAATTATCACCATCACTGTGTTCCTCCTCGTCAGCAAAATCAATATCAGATCAACACGGTATCAGCACATCGCATGGTAATCCTCGTTGTTCTCCTCGCCCTCATTGCCCTCAGTCTCCTCATCCTTCGCATCCTCACCCTCGTGCGTTCGGCATTTTCGTCCGGTGAGACACAAAGGTGAAGTTTACCTGTGTTATGCTTGGTGTAGCCAGTCCCCTTGGCTTGAAAGAGTCTGCAAGAACATGATGTCATTTTGCAATGCGATTTGCTTTCCAGGTATGGCTGCTGATGCTTTGGCTCATGGCAGGCAAGAGGGGCACTTTCGTTCTGGTGAGCTCGGCACTGAGAACCTGAGAACTTTGCTAAAGGCTTCCGCATTTTTTCCGGCAAGGAGTTGTCTTGATCAAACTCGGCTGCTTGCTTGGAGCACAGGCACTGCAAGCACTGCAAACTCACCGAAGCAGATATCCGAGGTGCCGCGGTCCTGTTAGTCGTCCTGCCCATCGCTTGGATTTGCGTGAGGCAGACTGCCGGAGAGAAAGACACGGCAAGCCTGAGATGGTGGTTTCCAATTTGGATCCTGCAAAGGCAACCTTTGGCAATTTGGAAGCGAAAGCTCTTGGGTCTTAGCTTCTGCGCGTGTGCGTTTTGTGCATGGGGTAGGGAATTCATGTTCGCAATAGTCTGTTTGTGGGGTTTTGAAGGGGAACAAAAGGAGGAATACAATTTGCGGGGTCTCCTAAATAAAAGGCGCACCCGTATACCTGTCATGCTTGGCTTGCGGTTGGGTTTATCCCTAGGGTTGGGTACAGTGGGCTCGAGCCTCAAGTCATGTGTCTCGACTAAAACAGGAGGCCGTCTTGCCTTGCATGACACCTGCCCACTTGCAGCATAGAGATGTAACGGTTGTTTTGCCTGAAATGTTTCTTACTTCGACTCTTTCCTTCAGTGGCACAGGTCATGCTTGGAGTTATTTGCTTCAGGATTCAATCGATGATACCTTCTGGCTATGGGCAAACGTGAGTTTGTCCGCATGCTTTCGCTCCTGCCAACATGGAACTTCTGGTTTGGAGGATATGTAGTAAGGCGTAAGGCACGTTGGTGTTCTTTTTTGGTCAGTTTGCCTAAACAATGATGGTGCTGGTTTCAGTTTGCCTCCAATTGTGAATAGCATCATGTTTTCTGAACGGACTATATTGTTCAAAACCCCCAGCGCCCTGTCTCTCTGTTATTTTTCTTTTTCGGGACCCCCAAATTGGCTTTGATGTTCCTTTTGGTTCCATTTTCCATCCACGAAAAAGGGGTACACAGAAAAACCGATGACTACCGGTGACACCGGTTAGGCACCCTGCGCAAAGGGGTTTTTGCCTATGCAGGCGCTGGCGACGGTTGGAGGAGCAGGAGCGAGCTCGGTTTGAGAGTGGCGCCCAAGGTTGCGGAGTCAGGGGAAACAAGGGAACCCCAGGGTTCAACCCTAAGAGTGGTTGACCCAGTTTGGATGATGACAACTCTTGGCTAAACCATGGTTATATTTACTCCCCCATTGAAGTGAATCGATGTTTTTTTTTTTTTTTTTTTTTTTTTTTCCGGGAGAAGCTTGTTGTTTTTCATTTCAGCAGACTCCAAGATGTTTGGGCCAGGCAACGCACAGCCTTCCTTTCAACAGCTCCTTGGTGCAGAGAATCTCTCAGGAACTGCTCAGATGAGCGATGGGCTGGCTGGAAGGCGTTTGCACCACGCTGCAACTTGGGTTTTTTCTTGTCACTCGGATAGACGCGCGACGCTGCGCCTTGCTTGGCGCCTTGCCTGGTTGGGGGTAAGACGCGACGCCGAAGATCAGTCAGAGATCGCAGACAAAAGGTTTCATGAGCACCGATCTGACGGAGCATGCACTTGTGCCCTTCAACCGCAGACAGTTCGTCGAACGATATGCATGCGAGATCTTCGGTTTTTTTGTGTGGAGCGAATGGTCGACAGCCAGAATGTCCCCATGCGAGCAGAAGGTCTTAGGTAGCATCTTGTGCCCACCTGTCCTCTTGTGGCCAAACTGTGCGGGCAGTCAAATTTACTGGTAACGGCAACATGGATTACAACAGCAATGTGACGTTCCTGCATTTGACCATCGTTTTGCCGCTGCTTTGATTGCAATAGGGGGCTTCCCTGACAAGAACAAGAGGTCCATGTTCAGCACCACTTGGAGCCTGTCCCACTCGTTGGGTTGACATTCTATCGTAGCGCGTTTGCCTTCTGAGGCGAAATCAACAAGTCTCTCGTGTGTTCAAGCTGATATGACCCATGGCAGATTGACATTTCAGCATGGCCGCGATCCCCAATCCTCCTTTCAGTCACTGAAGGAGCTGTCTTACCCTATGAAGGATCCTTCCTATATACATGGTACAAAGGACATCATGCATATTGGTGTTTCTCCCGTTGGGTGTGGGGATAATTGCACACTGTTCCACCGAGATCTGCCAGGAAGGCTTCCGTGAGGCACCTGCTGCGGACTCAGAGCAAAGAGACAGTCGCCCGAAAGGTCCGACAGTATCTTGCGATCGGTGCGTTTAGTTTGGGAATGTGGTTGAATGAACCTAGGGTTTTCCTCAAAGGAAACCATAGCGGATGGTTTATAGGGGTCATTCCATTTCTTGGTGCCCGACTGAGCACCAGCAAGAAAAAGTCTCAGTCTTGCTGCGCCCTCCGCGAAAGCTTCGTGATGGAGGTGGCGAAAGTTACTCTTTTCGCGAAACGCTTCGTGTAAGCGCGGTTTGCAAAAAGGAAGATGGAATGGTGTTTGCCGGCACGTGCAGAATGCACGCAGCCGTCGAAGGAAAGCGCAGCTTGAGGATAGCCGTAAGTCAGCTGGTTAGAGCTTGCAATATTTGCGCGAATCCACTATTGCGAAAATGTTTATGTTTCTTGGTGGCTCCCAGCCATCCCCTTGGCTTTTTAGCCTTTTAGCGTTTTGTGGTAGGTTCCATTTAACCCACAAAAAGTTAGTCACTTTTAGCGGGGGATCTGAGGGCAGGTTTATAAGAACTTCAACATTTGCTGCCCATGGCCTCGCATCCACACATATCGCATAGAATCTGACGGGTCCATCCAGCAGTTCAGAAGACATTTTGTTGACCAATGAGCCACCATTGCAGGAGTTGAAGGAACACGTTTGATTGGCTGAAGAAAGAGGTAGGCTTCAACAACAAGCACGCTCGTCCTCATGACTTCATCATGGTCTTTCCCAATGTTAGCAGTTTCGAGCTTGAAGCATGATCAAGGGGACTTTGGCCTTGAAACATGACCAGTGGGACTTTGGCCATGACAGGACGCTATTTGACAGGATGCAGCGCCAGGCCGCGCTATGCCTTGGAGCGCTAGCTGTGTTGAGTCAGGAACCACATGGGTTGCAACCACTCCAAAAGTGTTCGACAAAAGACACGCATCATACCAAATGATCATTTTGTTGCCCTGTGGGCTGCCTGCCTGAAGGTCATTTGACAACCATTCGGTGCTCAGAGAAATAACAAAAAGGGAAAAAACAACATTTCGCAGTGGTTCTGTTGCAAGATAAGGGTCTTGGAGAGCAAAGAAATTTTCTGAGCTGCGCTGTGCCAGATTTGCTTTGAGGAATGGCCTTTGGACTGACGTAGATCCCGCTGAACCTAACCTTCCTATGGCCAGACGGACCCGTATACACCATTTCCATATCAAGGTCCTTGGAAGGTTAGGGCATCGTTTGTAGGCAACTCTCGTAAGTGATGCCATTGCTTCTCATTTTCTTGGCTGCCTGTGCCACTGAAACCATTTGTCAGGGTCCAAGCAGCTGTTTCCATCGCGGCGCAGGCCGGCTGCGGAGCAGCAATCTTGGCAACTTGAGTTGAAGCTTTGCCATGGGCCATCTGTATAGCCATGGCTGTAAATCAATTCCTGCACAGGAGAGCGGGCAGGGAAGCGAAGGAACCGGCTCAAGAAAGGAAACTTCCATTTGTTTAAGAATGTTTTTCATTTTCCCCTGTTGCTTGTAAAAGGAATCGATCGCTGGACATATTTTATTTTTGTCCAGGGGGCTAAAGCGAAAATATAAGGAACCACGTTTTTTCGGCCAACGACGTTTTTTTGGGTCTCTGGGGCTGCGGCTGGCCGCTTTTGCTTCCCGTGGCCTGCTCCCGCCGGGTTGCCACTGAAGGTCGCGACTCGGCTGCCCATTTCCACTGCCCGGCCTTATGTGGCCGTCCAATGGGTGGGTTTTGGAATCTCGAGGATTTCCTGGGGCCAAGGCAAGGCAGGCAAAAAACAGAGAGCCATCAAAAAAGAGGGTCAAGAGGGCCAATATCACTCTGCTCTTTTGGAGGCCTCCCTGAACCGCGGGATCCAAAACGAGGACCCTTTTGGGGCATCCATTTGGACGTGCCGGCTGTTGATATGCAAAAGCGACCAAATCCAGTGAAGTAGCCCTCCGCTATCAGGAGTCTGGGCAGTGCAGAGTGCAGTTGTGGGCCCAGCCAAGCAGGGGATGCGACGGCACAGAAGTTGCATGCGCAAAACGCTGAGACCTCAGAGCATGCCCTGGATGATCGCCCCCTGCCCGTTTTGCGGGGGGCACGGATAAAGGCAGGAGTTGCTCATGTTTCAGGGTTCGGCTTTTCTTTGGCAGGGAATGTTGTAGGTGATTGTATTCTTCATCTGACCCCTTCCCAACTTCAGGCCTTCGTTGCTGGCAGTTCCAACTTGTTGCTTTTTGCTATTTGTTGTTTTTGTTTCGCGAAACTCAGCGCCAGGGAGTTTTACACTATGCCCTGCGTCTATATGGCTGTGGGTCAAAGCCAATGGTACCATTTTAGGGTAGGTGCACCACCCATTCTAGTTTCTATTTCAGTGGGGATTGGGATGGTCACTGGGGGTACGATTTGGATTTTGAGCCATGGCCATATATAGTTGCGACCTGCGGCGATCTGTGTTCGTTTTCCGCAGGGATCAGATCTGGTGCAAAGGAAAACTCCAGCCATGGCGCCCAAGAAGGGAGACAAGAAGGAGAAGGCGGAGAAGGCGCTTTGGGTGGCTTCCAGGTGCTTAAGAATATGTTGTTATTATTATTGTGATTGTGATTATTATTGTTGTTTGTGTTATTATTATTACCATGTTTTGTGTGTTATTATTATTATGTGTTTCTTCATTATTAGTGTTTCTTCATTATTAGTGTTATTATTAGTAACATTATTATTAGTAGAGTTATTATTGCAACTGTTATTGCTATTGTTATTGTTATTATTACTATCATTGTTATTATTATTATGATTACTAATATTATGAATTATTACTATTATTACATCATTTTCCTATTATTATTAGTATTATTATTGTTGTTGTTCGTAATATTGTTATTATGATTGTTATTAATATTTGTTCCTGTTGGTTTTAGAGGGAACCGATTTCACTACTGGACAGATTTGTTCTTCGTTCCAGTGGACCAAAAACCGCCAATGGAAGGCGACGGCCCAGTCCAGTGAGATCGAAGAGCCGCGGGGTTCGCATGGGACTGGTGGTTGCAAAGTCCGCTTCTCGCGCCACGAAATGAATCCATGGTTGAAAAACCATTATTTGTGTTGGTATTTACCGGGGGAATCCTCCGAAGCCGGGGTTTCTTGGGTGCGAAATGGATTTCGCCCACCCGCAGTAGGAGAAGCGCCATTTTGAGGGTAACACGCGTCTATGTTGCATCCCGGTGCCCTCTCACAGGTGGCCAAGGCGGTGAAGCAGCCCGTGAGCAAGAAGGCACGCAGCATTCTTGCGGAGGGGTTCTCCGTGGCAAACCGTGAAGGGTGCGGGTCCTCTTGATGTACTCTCGATGTATTTGGTTCTCCGACCCTTGTCTTCAACTTACATCAACTTTGATAGACAACTTCTGGATCCAAGTATTGATCCAACTGATCCAGCTTTGTTCCACTGTTGACCGCACATACCATCGTCAAAATGTTCAGCCTCCTTCCTTTGATCCCAAAGCGGGCTGCTGACTTGCCAAACCGCCTCGTGTTGGGTTAAGTTGGCTTCAGGCCGGCAATTGTTTGGATTGCCCATGAGTCCACTAGTCTTCTTGCCGATATTTTCCAGTGAGCCTTCGTGTTCAGTCGTTTTAGCTGGGATCATTATGTTGACGGCTTCTGGGTTCCGTCAGAAATGTGGTTGCTTCCCTTTAACCCACCACTTAGGAGGTGACTTTGATCATGATAAAGTAATGAGGCCAGTTTTAAAGCAGGTTCTCCTACAAAGCCAGCCAACCACGGGGGCGCCTTCCCTCTTTTTCCTGGGCCACGCAAGGCGATTGAGTCGGGGAATGTCAGTGAATGTGATGCCTCAGTGGTGCGAACTTTTGTGATGCCAACGGCAGCCCTTCATGACGTGACTTGATTTAAATGGCTGTGGGTCAAAACCAATGGTACCATTTTGGGATAGGTGCACCACCCATTTTGGTCCATTTTAGTGGGGATTGGGATGTTCACTGGGGGTACGATTTGGATTTTGACCCATGGCCAAATTTGTTGTCTATCACAAAGGTGGGAACCAACCCTTTCGCTGACTCACGCTGTGCGAAGGCCGTTTTTTCCCGGCCAGGTCAAGAAGATCCGCACCAAGGTCCGCTTCTACCGGCCCAAGACCCTCGTCAAGGCGGGGGACGGGGCCCGAGTTTGGCGGCAGGTTTTTTCCCGTCCGAAGGATGTGGGATCTCGTTGCTGAAGTGGAAAGCCTTTTTTGTGGAGTGGCTGACCTGAAAGCGTGTCCTGCTCCTCCCTTCGAAGTTGCCCAGATGTGGCAAGTATCTTACCATGCATCAAAATGCGAGCGAGAGAGAAAGAGAGAGCGATAAAGATAGAGCGAGAGAGAAAGATAGAGAGAGAGAGAGAGAGAAGAAAAAGAGTAAACAACACAAGACCTTGCCCCTCCTCACCCATCCCATCCCATCCCGCCCAAACGCCGCCCCGCCCCGCCCCTGCCCCATCATTCATGTCCTTGCAGGCGCGCAACCCCAAGTACCCCCGGAAGTCGACGGAGCGCCTTGGCAATTGGAGAGCCTTAGGCAAGATCTCATATTTCCTTGGTGGCTCCCAGCCATCCCCTTAGCTTCTTAGCCTTTTTGGGGGAGGGTTCCCCTACTAAAATAGACTACCCAGAGTCTCCATGACCCGAAATAAGAATGGGTCATTGACCAACCATTATTTTTGGTAATGACCAACCATTTTTTAAGGGGTCAGAAGGAGACTCTAGGTACAGATTAAAAGGGTACCCTAAACCCTAACCTCGATCTGGAGGACCTAGAGCCTGACGAAACCAAAGGCTGTTGTTTTCCTCGTATCGCTGCCAGCGTGTTGTTTTTTTTTCTTTTTTTTTCCATTGCGTCGACGTTGCGTTCTGCACCGTTAGGCACAGGGTGGCAGTGGTGGTCAAAACCGTTAAACGGGATCCTGTTTTGGGTTGGGTGCACCACCCATTTTAGAATCTATGTTAGTGGGGATTGGGATGTTCACTCGGGGTACGATTTGGATTTTGACCCATGGCCATGTTGCTTCACGAACCCTGACACACCAATGCCCCAAAAGAAGGTCGTTTAAAGTGGGTGTGTCTTTTTAAGGTTGGACCCACAAACTGATGTAACAGTGTTTTCCTTGTTGGTTTCCGTTTAAAGCCGAAAAAGTACCAACTGCCAAGACGACGAGCCACCCAAGTAGTCCCAGTTTCATGCGGGTGGCTTTGATTGCTTTCCACCTGCCCCCCGATTTGGCTGTTTTTTCTAGGGGCCGCGGCGACAAGCTGGACAAGTACCGCATCATCCAGCGCCTTGGCATGACGAAAGGCAACATGCGTTTCGGCACGGGTCAGTTGTGCCACACTCTTTCATTTGGGGAGGGTTTTGGATGGTCAACCTGTGAATAAGTATTTTTGCCATGCGATATTCAATGTCAAGCTTCTCATTAGCCGCTTGCTGTACAAGTAAGTTGTTGGCCAAGAGTATGACTTCTGTTGAGTGTTGCATGCTGGCTCAACAGGGTTTTGCTGTTCTTCCGAACTGTTTCGCGCTGCTTGAAAGCTCTGCGTGAGCATGAGCATACTGCGTCAGCATGCGTTCATCAGCACCGACTTAAGTGGGCCGGATCTGCAGTGCAGACAAGCTATGCAGTTGTGAATTCACTAGTTGATGTGTTGATTTGAACAGGTGCATGGAGTCCGCGCGCATTTCAAGCCGTCCCAAATCGGATGCCACGACTGACTCTCGAGCCAGCAAGCGCTGAAGCGCTTTCGCAGCCGCTTGCCGAAGGTGCCCGGTGACTACAGAGTCTGCCATGAAGAAGTGGCTTGATTGCAAGGCGACCAGGGCACAGTTGGATTCAGTTGCCAGTTTCCCTCATCGAAATGCTCGTCAGGGGAATAGCAGCGCATGACGACCAAGGATTGAGGAGATCAACACACTTGTTTTCTTGGTCGACATCAAGGCCGGACTGCGGTCACAACGCAGCTCACGACTTGAACCTTACCAAGCAACTGGGACGTCTCATTTAGGTCCGAATGCTGGGATGCGATCTCCGCTTCCGGCGAGACTCGGAGACTCACTCCAATTGTCCCCTGCAAGGTTCTATTTTTCGACTACCCCAAGGTAGACTTCATCCCAGGGGCTTGCCTTTTGGGGAAATCAACCGCCCCTGGGTAATCAACCGCCCCTGGGTTTAAGTTCACTTTGGGGTTGTCACAAAACGGAGTCGCCTGGAGTGCCCCTTTTTGGATCTCCACCACCCCTGGGTTTACGTCCACTTTAGTGGTCAAAAGACGGAAAACCCTGGAGCCCGGGTCCTTTTCTCGCTGAAGGCAGATGTTTGGACTCTGCCGGGTCGAAGGATCCAAGCACCTGAGAGAATGAGAGAATTCACGGGGGGAGGCGACGAAGCCGAAGATCAAGGAGGCGGGAGCAGCCAAAAGCGCCAAAGAGCGAGGTGAAAGAACGGTTCGGCTTGAACTACCCACAAGAATGGGACAACAGCCCCATAATTTTGAGAACAACAACGCCTTTTTTAGTAGTTTGAGGGTCAAAGTATACCAATTCAATCCATGTTCTGTAGGCTCTCGTTTGAGTTGCGTATGTTGTGTAGGGTGAACCCCTAAAATCTTCCAACCAACCCTTAAAGAACCTTCCTGGTGATGGCATTGGTACCTGCATGAACGGCTTTTTCGGGTGTCGGAGTCCAGCTTCGGCCTGCCAAGTGCGACCGAGCTGATCGATAGACCTGCATTTAGACTGTTCCCCATCGTCCGAATTCCCATCCACCTCAAACATCCTCCTCCTCCTCCTCCTCCTGGTTGTCATCGTCATGACATGTCATGACCACCATCATCACCATCATTACCATCACCGCCGCCACCAGCAGCAGCAGCGGCGGCAGTAGCGGCAGCCTCATCCCTGACTTTTGCGCGGAGCGTGCCCCCACAAAGAACACGCCTCGGCCTACACAAAGCGAGGCCATGTCGAATTCTGGACCAGGTATTCTCTGCCTTGGCGCGTTTGTGTGGCTGGTCGTTGGCAGGCTGTCAAGCAGCTCTACGATGTGAAGTGCGCAAAGGTGAACACGCTTATTCGCCCAGATGGGTTGCTGGATTGCATTATGCACAGTAGGCTTGCTTTGAGAGCGCGCTTTGCTGCATGTGCAATGTGACCGCACGCTTCGCACACCTGCAGACTTGTAAGGTAAGTGAGCAGTGCTCACAGACGGCCTTTTCAGGTTATTTTGGTTGGAGAAGATGGCCCTGCTTGCAGGTTGTTGTTAATCATTTGCCGGTGCCATCGATTTTCCCGAAAGGAATCCTACTGTGGATGGACAAAATCCTGCACCACTTGGAAACCATGGTTGAAACCATTGTTCGTTGGTACTTACAGGGGGTGGAATCATTCCGTTGGGTTTCTGAGCGGTGGTGCGCAATGGATTTCGCAACCACCCACGGTATGGTTGTGCTAGAACAAGCATCTCAGGAAGAAGAAGGCCTACGTGCGCCTCACGCAGGACTACGACGCGCTGGATGTGGCCAACCGCATCGGTGACTCGTCTTAAAGTCAGCTGGTCCCTGCCCCCAGCGCATGGATGCTCCGCTCGCCATCTTGCAAATGCACCGGCCAGAAACCGCGTGTTGATTTTCGTTGAGTTTAAATCAACCAAACACCAACCCTGGTTGAGTTTGCGTTGGGTGTCCAACTTGTTTCCTACTTGCAATATTGAGTTGGCATTCAACGTAACAGTGGGTGGACATCAATATTTGAACAGATGCCGCGATTACATTATGAAAGGGGGTCCTACAGAAGCAATCCATTCCCATCCATAGGGTGGGCGAGATATCTTCTTTTCTCACAACGTTTCGCTCGTGGGATTGGCAGCACGAGAGTCATTACCCTCCCATTAGCATGGCACTTGACAGAGGGTACCTTGCAAAGGAAACAATCTTCCGGGTGCCTTACCTTCAGTTTTTTGGATCAAGGTTGTTTTTTTCCAGGTTTTTGGTTCTGATCATTTTTAGGTTCTTGGGCTGCACAAATCAGATCCATGTTGTTGTTTTGTTTTGCAAGGCCATACCTTTTGGGTTGCAATGTTCCCAGCGATGCCGACTGTTGCCCAAAGCCGACCTTTGATTTAGGTCCATGAGTCATGGCCCCAAAAGCTAAGGGATCCTTTCTCGCTTGTTGTTGGGAGAAAAGCACATTTTTACTTATGGTGGTTTAATGGTTGAAATCCCCACTCAACTGCAAACATTTAAGCTTTTGCTCCCCTTCCAACGTCAACCAAGCTTTGGGCAACTGAGACCCTGCCACAGTTGCTATGGTTCGGAGGGAGGCTCATGTCGAACCTTCTGGACCCCATGAGATCGGTTTCCGGCCAGGCATCATCTAAGCGAGGCTCGGCCGCTGAGCCGGAAGCGGATCGAGCCGATCGAGCCCCGAAAAGGGATCGAGTGGTGGAAGCTGACAGGGGCCTTTGGGACTACACTCCTGCAATGTCAAGGTCCCCCAGCAATTGGTGCCCCCTCTTGTACCGTTTCTTTTTTTGGGGAGGGTGAGGGTTACCCTACTAGAATAGACTACAGAAAAAAGCTTGGCACCCTTATTCTAACCTCTCGACTGGAGGACCTAGTCATGATTGGAAAGGGGTGTTGAGGGAAGTATGAGAGAATCTGTTCGGATGCACGGCATTTGGGTTTCGCGAGTCCAGTGTGTATTGCTTGCAGCGGGCATTGTTCATGAATGAGACATCATGCATTACAAGCCCAGCAACTTGTGTACGCTTGATCAAGAGACTTCAGCTTTATGGGATGCCAATTCCCTCAGTTGCCCAAAGCCGACCTTTTAACCTTTTGGTTTTCCGATTTTAATCCATTTTTAGTCATGGCCCCAAAAGGTTAACCTTTTATTTCTGGGTCCTTTGGTGGGTACCTGAGTTCCATCTTGCCTATCGGTGCAGACATGTTTCGAGTTTTTTCTGGATCCTTGCAGGACCTGAGATGAAGATCGGTGATTGCAGCCAGAAATGGAAGAGAAAAAGCATGGATGCCATATTGGTAGAGTCCGAGCACGTTTGCATTTGTAAATGGCAGCGGGCTTGCTCGCATGGATACGAAACGAAGATGATGTTGTATTCTGTTTGCACGACTCGCGTCCGAAGTGTTTGGAGCGGGCGGCCGCCTGTTTTGGAAGGGAGGTTTACCCGGCGTTTTGAGGGTATCGGCTCGGTCGGCATTGTAGGGAGTGCAGCAGCTAAGCTCCTTTGAACGCATGCGATCTTTCCTGGCTCAAGCGGGGGGACGTGCATCCGCATGTTGACTGGGCAGGGGTTCGGCTGAAGAGTCACACATCAGCAAAACTCGTGACGAGCTGGGACAGATTTGGGCTCTCATGGGATTATCCTTCCACTTGTGTGACTTTGTGCCTGTCCTCTTTGTGCAAAAAGGACGGTGTTTGTTGCCACGATGGCAGGCAAAGAGGCCTGGGGAGTCGACGCAGCCGTCGCCAATGGAATGTGCCATGAGCAACTACCTTCTCAAGACCAAGCCTCTACAAAACGGCGGTTTGCCAAGGGAATCGGTCAGGTCAGTCAATTAGAGGCCACTCACAACGTCTCATGATGTCAACTACATAGCTTTTCAGGTGAATCCCCGCTGCAAAGTTAGCCTTCGGTTTCATTTCGCATCAATCTATGGCCCGGTTCCCATGTGGCAACCTTCTAAATTTTTGCACCAATGAGTCTCGAGAATGGTTCAATCCAGCTGATCTCGTGCCATTGTTTGGAATGCCTGTTGTTCAGGGTCCTAAGGCATCGGCCGCTGATTTGGAGGCAAAGTATGCAATCTGTGTGGGTGTTCGATTTTGAGGGCCGTCCGAGGGTGACAGTTTTGCCAGGGCAATGTTGGCTTTGCCGTTTGTGCCTCTACCTGAACTCGACTCGACACTTCCGCTGCGCATGGGAATGATTTTGGCCCATACGTGGGGTCACAACACCCCCAAATGCCCCATGCCAGCAGGTCAGCTGGGTTCCGATAAACAGGCTCGGACAACCATGTGCGAACCCATTTACTGAACTGCTGGGCAACGGATCTTTAGACTTGATCCTTCTGGTTGAATTCAAGTTTGGTTTTCCACGAAACCCCCAAAAGGTTGAGAACTTTTTGCAGGGCGTGGCCGCAACCAAGACTTCGGTCACGGCAGGTCTGTTTGCCGCAACGGCCAGGCGGAGTCGACGCCCACGAAGCTGAAAGAGGCCATCAAGGCAGCCGTCAACTCAGCGCTCGCAGCGGGGCAGCCCGCCGCGGAAACCGATCCCACCAGCTGGTGGGTGCATGGCGCACCACCGAAATCAGAAACCCAACCGATGAGTTCGATAAATGCCAACGTAAATGCCAATGGTTTCCACCATGGTTTCACAATGGTGGACTTTGTCCATCCACAGCAACTGTGAACCCCCAGCGTGTTTCTTGTGGCATGCTCATAACTCATACATTACTTCTGGACAGGAACTATCCTCATGGCGGCTGGGGGGAGGGAGGGCAAAAAAAGGGGAGCCCAAGTAAGCCCCAAATAAGGCTTTATGAAGGGGTTAATAGGGGCTTAAAGGGGCTCCCTCCCCCTCCCCTCCCTCCCCCCAGCCCCCCCTGATATCCGAAGCCCTCTTTCCACCCTTGTCTTCAAGTGCTGAGTGCAGAAGCTTCCGTGCAAGGTCCCCACGCCGATCTCATGCAGTCGGGCGCTTTGCTCGATCGGGCCGTCCTAGAGCCACATACCCGGCTTGCAACTTGTGATGGGTCGGGTGACACTGGGTCTGTCGCTTTTTGGAGTCGGTTCCCTTCTGGTTGGTGCTTTCAAAGGGAAACCGAAAGGAAAGACCACCCACCTTTCGCTAAAAAACAGACAGACCCGCTTTGCAATCCTAATCCTAGCCAAGTTAGGCACCAAGCAGCTCGAGCGGCTCGCAAATCAATGTCCCTCTCGAGCGGCTCGCAAATCAATGTCCCTCCGTGTGAAGGTGTATTTACCCAGCGGCCTCGGTTGCTCTCCGACACTTGCACCAGATGCGCAAGTCAGCGAGCTGAAACTGGCGGCACAGCAGGAGTTTCAGCACCGATTCTGGTTGCCTCCACTTGCGGGAACAGGTTAAATGTGCGTGCATGCCATGCATTGCCGTCAAATATCGAAACAACTGGTCCCTGCACAAAGAATGACTGCCGCGATGAAACAGCAAACTTGGGATGAACGAACCTTGAAGTAGCTCTGCAAGACAGTGTCCCTACAACATGAGAGGCTTTGGCTGCAACACCTTTTCTCGCAGCGTCTGAGGCCCCACGAGGACACCCTTTCAGGACATCTATGCTGCGACAGTCAGCGCGCCTGGTCGCGATCCGCGTGTCACCGGGTTTTCTGTGCTGGCTCTCGAGCGCCTTGAAGGCGCGCCTTTGAGAGCGGAGAGGCTCTCAGTCTTGAACAGGGAAATCCAGACCCTGGACTGTTAAATTCAGACTGTTCAATCTATTTTTCTTCAACTAGGAATCTTGAACATAGCCTTAAGATCATGTTAAACAGTTTGATGATTTTCAATATTGATTCGCAGGGAAGAGTTGACTAGGACAGAATTCTTCCTTCTTCCTAGGTGCGCGGCAGTCCTAGCAAGACACCGGCTGGGTCGCCCAGAGTTGCCGCACTTGGAGTTGCATCCTCGGCCGGAAAGGTTTGCAACGAAGACAGCGGAGTCAGTGGAACCCTGGCAGAACCCTCGTGGAACCTTACCTCAGGGAGGCCCCCGACCACCCCGGAGCCTATCTGGGCTGAGACCCCAAAGCTTTATGGCACAATTTCGGGGTGCAAGAGACGATCACGATGGATCAATCAATCGTGAATCATAAGCCGCCGAGGGACACCGTGAGAATGTTGCCTGAAAGTTGCTCTCGCTTTTTGGAGCGACAGTCCCTTTCCCTTAATCGTTGTCGTGGAGAGGGAGCTCAGTCTGCCCTGCTTTGCTCTGCAAGGCATGTGCAAGTCCTGTCCGATACAGTCCCAACAACGAGCCCGCTTTTGCAAGAGGGTTCCAGTCAAGGCCTGCCCAACCGGAGAGTTCAGTCGGTCGGAAAGGGTGCCCTTTTCCTGCCAGGTTCACAGGGCTGGGCGATAATTTATTGACTTGATCGCATCCCTCCAAAGACCTGGACAGCCTGACGTATTGCTTTCCCAGCGGCCCATTCTGTGGACAGACTCCACCAGGTGGTTTATCCATGAATAAACCAGTATTCATAAGGCTTCATCCATCCCAACTTGTGCACTTTGTGTGTTTTCTGGTCATTGAGTCTCCAGGTTCCTCTTGTGAGGACTTCAAGGTCGATTGCGAATCTCTTAGTGCCCCAAATTGTTAGAATGAAACCAACTTTGGGGGGGAGAATTGCGTTTGTTTCAGTATCTTGGTGCTTCCCAGCCATCCGGTTCCTTAGGTTTTTTTAGTTTTTGTTTTGTTTCTTTGTTTATGCTTTTTGGTGGGTTTCGTGGTAGTTCCGGTTCTTTCACCCAAAGTTCAAATCTCTCCTTGGTTTCCGACTTTCACCCACCAAAAGACGTCAAGTCTGTTCAAGTCAAGTTTCTTTCCTCAGGGAATCTGAGGACCGCCCGGGCCCGGACGCCTTGCCCGGGCCACGTCGTCCCGGCCAAAACGGCTCGCCCTCGGCTTCCGAGGTGCTGGAGCTCAGCTCCCCCGCCCGCGGGGCGCGGCAGCTGCGGCAGGTGCTGCTGAAGGCGTCGAGTCAGCTCCGGGGGGTGGCTCAAGGAGGCGGGTTTTTGGTGGCCTCACTAAGGGGCTCCTTAAAAGGGGGGAAAAAAAACGAACTTAAGGTTTCTGGTTTGGTGCCGGGTGTTGGTGCCTCAATAAGGGTTGGTTGGGTGGTTTGCAGTCCCTATGGACAGCTTGTGGGCACAAGCAAAAGCGGCAACAGCACTGCCACGGAAGGGGCTCTTTAAAAGGGAGAAACAACAAACAGGTTTTGGTTTGCTGCCCCTTTTTGGGTTTCGGGCGGGAAAACTCAGAAAAGGGGGCAGCTTAACAAGGGTTTGTCGCCTTTTTTTCGTTTTTGTTCTCCGAGTGCGAAAGATGTAGGGAATGAGACATGGAATGCCCCGTCTATAAACCATTCCACTGGTGGTCTCCTTTGTTCGGGGAGCAAAGCCTGGGTTCATTCAAGCTTATTCCGCACTTATCGCACCAGCAAAGTGAAGGTCAATCTCTGAGATTCGCTGGGGTGTTGCCACCATGAAAACAATGGTGCACCACCCATTTTACTCTATTTTAGTTGGGATTGGGATGTTCATTGGGGGTACCCATGCCCATATTTTACTACTCGCCGTTCAGGATCGTCCAAATTTGGCCCTGGCCATTCTTTTGGGGCAAGGAGCCCTAGGGCACAAGGTAGTTCGGTTTGATAGTACCCCTCAACCCCATTCCATTCATTTCCCTGGACTTCCAAAGACCTTAGACAGTATGGTCGAGGTAGTTTGGGCTAAATTGCTATATGCAGGGCCGATAATCACAATGTTGTTTCCCATGAGGTAGTTCGGCTTGATAGTACTTGACACCCCAATTCTAAAATCATTGAGGTCCTTGTATGCTTTTTGGGGTGCTCTGAAGAGAAACCTCCAGTTTTGAAGATGCCCAGATTCGGTCAATGGCGCAGATGTCCCCTAGTGCCCTTTTACCCTGTTTATGGGGAGGTTTCCCCTGCTAAAATAGACTAGTATTCTAACCTCTCTACTAGAGGATCCACCCGCAGTGTGTGTGTGTGTGTGCTTGAGGTTGTCCACTTGATAGTCATTGCAAACCCTGTGCAGTACGCCGGTCTCAGGACGTATTGAATCCCAAGTTAGAGCTAAGGAGCCAGGCGCTTTGCTGGCTGAAGACTCCCCAGCAATTGCTTTTCAGAGGGGACATCTCAGTCAGCGCGGGCGTGAATTTTATTAAGGGACCCTCTGGTGGACATCATTTAGGTGGGGATTCATGTCCACCAAACACT